TAAGAATGTAAGGAGACGATATAAAAAGCAAAGAGAAAGTGACGAGATTAAAATAAAAGAATATACAGCATGGTGTAGCACAAGAATATGAAACTCGAAATATTTTCAAAAAAAAAAAAAAAAAAAAAAAGGAGGTCTTTGAACAACATAAATGTCAAATCAAAATATGCCCTTGAACGAGGCTTCCGGAATCGGAAAATGATACAACGAAACCAATGCAATATGGTGGTATATGGTGAATTTTTATATCGAGAGCACAAGATGAGCACCTTGCCCAACGCCAACGCCATACGCCTTAAAGCGCTCTGCAACTTCAAGTCCAAGCTCTTTCATGCGTTCAGCACCTTTACCGGGTAATGGTTTACGCTCAAGATTCTCCTTTGCAGCTTTCCTACAGTGCTGGCGCCAGAATTTTTCTTTCCGTTTCTGACGCTTCTTTTCGAGACCCACAACAATATCGATAGGTCCGCGGGTGTGTAAGTCGTGGTTGCTGGATTCGCTGGGGCTGGCCATATTAGGCATTGCCTTTGTCAATCGACGGCGTTCAAGCCGAGCGAAGAAAGGGTTTGGCGTGCGAGGGAGGGACCTCGTACGTGGCCGATGGGGCCTCTGCGTGAGATCGGTGATGTTCATACCGTCAGGGTGGAGCGCTGCAGCAGCGAGATAAGGACCGCGTGGTGAGGGAGGAGTTCTCGATTTCATGATGGGTGGAGGCGATCGTAGACGTCGGGGAGAATTTCCATAGGCACGCCGCGGAGGGGGTGACTGCAGACGTTTTGGAGAGCTTGATGGAGTGACTTTACCACTGCTGGCTTTCTGTCTTCCGCGAAGGCCCTCTGGATCATGTGCATGAACCTTTTCTGTGATGTCATCATGGTCGTCATGATTTTCATCATCGTCTCCATCTCCGTCCTCGGGATCTGTGGTGGGAAAACTCGGATCAATGTCCTGAGGGATAAGGATATGTTTCGCCCGACGACGTTGCTCCATGCAAGAAATATACGCGGCTTCCAAAGGGCGGTCTTCGTCGAGCGTACCACATACGAAATCGGTGCTATCAGGAAGATGTGGTGTGGAAGGTCCATACTTTTGGGGCTTGCTAGGCCGACGGTGTCTTTGGCACCGCCCGGATTGCAGAGGTGGTGTCACTTCTTTGCGGCCTTTCTTCCGTTCGTTTGAAGATTCAGTTGAAGAGCATGAACCTCGCCGTCTAGAAACTTGGTTGGCAACATCAGCGTTATCAACGCTAGTAGAGGCAGTTGCCATCGACGGCGCCCAGAATGCGTATTCAGATTCGTTATCAGTGTCGTCAGAGTCCGCAAACCCAGCCTCATTATCGCTCTCATTACCAGCGTCAGAAATATCATTTTGAAGCGTTGAATCATCTTCGTCTTCATCACCATCATCGTCGTCATCATCCTCATCATCATCATCATCATCCTCATCATCCTCGTCGTCGTCGTCGTCATCATTGTTATCATCGTCGTCGTCATCATCATTTTCGGCATCCTCTTCGTCCTGACGAGCTTCTTCCTCCGCTTCTTCACCCAGTTTCCTAATCGCAAGTTCCTTCTTCATGCAATCATTCAGCGTCATTTTCTCCTTATAAACCGTCGTCTGGTTTACCCAATCATCGTCTTCCAAAGAACTACCGAATTCGTGAAAACGAATCGCATCAGAGAGTTCAAACTCACCAGGCCTCGAAGTACGAGGAGCACCCGGTGGCTTTTTTGAAGGAGCGTCGCGTCGATCGACCTTTTCCTGCGATGTTATTGAAGGGTCCGAACTGGGTTTGCGCAGCGGGAGGGGTGAGATGCCAGTATGGTGGCATGAGGAATTTCCGCCGCGGTCCGTTTGTTCAACCGTCTTTCCACTCTCGCCAGTTGGTCGCGGGGCGCAAATAAAAGTCAGAACAGACTTCCGCTTGGGCACACCATTTGTATCCTTCACTGGTTCGCTCGAATATTTCGACTCGTCAATTTTTCGCCCACATGCGAAGCTTATCAAGCGCTTCCGTCCAAGATTGGCTTCAATTTCCGATTGGGGAATGTCGGTGGTAGGTGCTACCGGGCTTTTGACTTGCATACGGCCACGGAATGTGGTGGGCAAATGAGCAAACCCGGACGGAATCGGTGGACTTGGTGAATCTGACCGTGGTGGGGTTTTTGTCTCCCCGTCGCTGGTCAGTTCTGCAGTCGAAGGCCCGCTGATGTTGCTATATATCGACGGCGGGTAATTTCGATCGGATTCATTTACATGTGAAGGTTGAGATAGACAATCGATAGACGAAGGCTCAGGGCCGCAGAGCAGTAGAGCCCGGGTAAGCAGAGACTCCTTCTTTGCATCCGGAATAAAAAGTCTCGCTTTGGTGTAGGGTTGAGGAACGATATTTTCCAATTTCGAGGACGGCTTAAGTTGACGATCGTCTGGTGGCTCGTCCGCCTCCGCAGAAATCTCCTCGCCATCGATCGTTGGAGTACCCGGGGTGTTGGATAAACGAAACATGTTGGTCAAAACATTCATCATAGCCGACTAGATAGGTGGCAAATGGATGCGGCGGATCCTTCAGATCGAATCCTAACGTACTGATCAAGGTCTAATGTAAAGAAACAAGATCAAATATGATGTAGGGTAGATGGTAATAAGAAACGAAGGAAATAAAACCAAAAGGCCACCCGAATGAAATTAGGAAAGTGGTTGCGCAACCAAAGATTGTTGTCGATAGCACGCAGAGACGACCAGGCAATACTCAAGGTATGCTTCCGCTGATCTATGGAGGACCTTTGAGGAGCAAGGAAATGCCCATCAAGAAAGCTATTGTCATAAGAGGTAGACCGTCATCTTGGCCAGAAGGACGTGATCGAGGCGGCGATGTTCGTACGTGAAGAGAAACGAGGATGATGCACGGGGCAAACCCCAAACAGATGGCTGCTGTCGAGTAGCGTCCGGGCACCTAGGGTTGCTGGGGAGGATCGGGTGGGCACAAGACGGAAGTGTCAAGCCCAAGGTTGTGTCGCCACCGATCGTTGCAAAGATTTTCTACTGCTAGCCTGCTGCTCAGCGAAAGCAAGTAACAGTAACGGGAGTGATCGGGTTGTGAGTCACACAGACAGAGAGCGCTTAGATGGACAGTAGACAGTGAGATTGATAGACACAGGAGGACGGAAGAGAGGGATTGGGCCAGTGTGGGATGGGCTGGAATGGTAGAAAGGAAGAAGGACGTGAGAAGAAGTCAAACCGGGCGGCGGCGAGTTCTTGAAGGGCACAGGGCGGGCGGGTGACTAATCGGGTCTGAGTCGACCCCACGCGGTGCGTATTAGGCGTATTGCGTATCGCTGCGTAAACAAAGCAGTAATAAATAGTAAATATTGATTTGGGTAAAAATGGCCATGGAATCAATCGATCGGGTTCCTTATTCATCTGAGATGAAATGGTCTTCGACATTTCCCCATCTCAAATCAGGATTACTCTCTTTCCATCATCTGAAAATGTCGATTACGATTTTCTTACAAGTATGAAGATCGTAACCTTCATCAGAACAATGACTTACCCCTCAGGGTAAAGCAGCAGCATATGGAGCGCTGTAGCAAACCTATCCAGATAGCGACAACGACAATGACAGCGACAGCAATGGCGAACAATGTCCGATTTCCCCTTCCCGGGAAGGGGAAATGTGTTTTCAATTGCAATTTGCGGTGTTTCTTTTCAATTTCCCATCCATCAAACCAGGTCGAGTCATCTGTACCATTGGGTCCAAGCCGTCGTCACCTATAACCTACTCAAAGAGAGCAGTGAGTGAAATCGCATTTACCCAAGCCTTCTCAAGGACGTACGCAGGACGTACGCAGGACGATCAAAGTGTCTACTCTGTATCCTGGTGACTTGGCTGGAGACCGTTAGGCGGGTGTTGATCCGCGGCGGCGCAGGGTGTGCCAGACGTTGCTCAGCATTAGCCCCAGTACACCACATATTCGAAACCACACCTCTTAACTCCTCGCGGCATGGCGCAATAAAGAAATCACAATCCTGCCCGTGCGGCGTGTGGAGGTCTGTTCATGCATGCCCGGATGCTGTACGACACACCCTCTACGAAAACACGCGGAATTGCCAAGTCGTGCAGCGCAGCTTGACACATACCATGCTACCCATCCATGGCCAATAGGAATACTCTTGCGAAATTGAGGAATGAAAAGAAAAATTAGTCTTCAATTAGTTGTCGTTTCTGTGAGGAGTGTTCAAAGAGATAATGTCTATTTTGTGAATTTAGTCTCCATGCCGTTGCTAAGAAAACGAAGACGAAACAAAAAACAACAGAACTGCCATCAGCTCAAACCCGCATCCTTGATACAGGGTCAGTTCAACGATCTAATCAAAAATAATAATGATGATGATGATGCATTCGGGCGCAACAGCTCATAGAAACATAGATTCAGGCCGACTGAACCGCCATCCGAGGTCGGTTTAGTTTATTTCAAAAGCGTGATGACATGCATCATCCACACTGCAAGCCTCCAAAAATATTTTGAGGGTGGCGCTTTGGTAACTTCGCTGTAAAGTAAATGCCAATCAAGTACATGCGCTTCTAATATTTTACAGCGGACAGCTCGCATTAGACATCAACCTGTCGCTTGTCAAAAGGAAACGGCACACAATTGGGCAAGAAAGAGGAGAAAGAAAAAGTGAGTTCGAAAGCAAAAGCAAACAATCCTAGTATAATTCGAGCTTTCGAATACGATAGCAAAGCAGAGCATGCCACTGATGTCAAACTCGGTGCTGATATTTCAGTGAATGTCATTGGAGCATTATTTCAGAACTGGGTGGCTACGAAACACCTCCACGTCTCCCTAGAATCAAACCTTTTCAAACTATTGGGAAAAGTGGCTAAAATCCTCTGCAGTCCCGTAGAGTAATGGAAAAATTATACAATCCCGTTGAAACAATTGAGAAATTGGTGAATTTACTTGTAACCGTAATGATCGATTTTTATGAAACCAAGTTTATCCTCGATGGTCTAGTGGTCATGATTTCCGCTTGTCATTCCAAGAAACTTGCCAAGCGCGGGAGACCAGGGTTCGATTCCCTGTCGGGGAGACCTTTCGAAGGTTTGTCTTTTCAATTTTTTGTTATTCCCCCAAATTTAACTACGCTTTCACCAGCCCGCTTCACTCAGCTATGAGCCTATGATATGAAATTTTAGTGAAATTTTAGTGAAATTTTACACACAACAGCAATTATACTTTTTGTCATTCAATAACTCTGCACTTCACCTTTTTGGTATCGTTAGCGTTGAAGCCTGCTAGTTAGGTTCTGTTTATCAAACTGCTGGTGTTTATTAATAGAGTTTTTGTTAGTATCCATTTGGATTGGGTGTTTCGTACCCTCTATACCACCACGGCGCTTACAATCTCTCCACTCCGCGACCTCCATTCTTCTATTTCTCCACTTCACGACCTCCACCATGACCCCCATTCTTCTATCTCACTACTGCCGCTATATCCTTCAAAATGGCTGATGGAAGTCTGTCTGAGTTCCATGCATCCCCGATCCCTCCTGTAGAAAGATCAATGTCCGAAAATATCTATTTCTTGCATCCTGGCTATCAAACTCCCTGCAATATTCTCCTGATCCTTCCGCGTGTTGATCAAATAGCTCTGGAGTTCACCACCAAGCCGCCTTGATTGCCTGCCAGATCATCGGAAACAACGCGTTTGAAACTGGCCGTCTTTGTCATGATAAAGATGCTCAACACCCTGTGACTGTCCCACTTGATGGAGTTCTGACGGACCCAACTTACTATTTTCTGGTTGACGCATGCGCGAGCATGCAAACTTCTCCACCTTCTCATCGCTGTTCTGATCCATTTCTACTAGGCAAATACCCCATTGTCCTGTGATAAGATAGCACTATGACCACTAGGTTATCCATAGCAAAATGCCAACGTAACCATTTGTTAAATGGTTGCGCTCATAGTGATATATATACCCGTGGGTGTGGTGGTGTGGCCCGGCCCACAGCGGGCGTGGCCACCCAACCCACCACCTATACACTGCGACCGCCAGCCGCAGCATAGTGGAGAACCACACTCCCCAGTTTCCAGGACTGGGAGTTCCCGCACGACCGCATCCCAGATACTTGGGGCCCTATATCCGTATTTCCTGAAGCCACTAGACTTCGATGTGGCATCACCAACTTCTCGATATGCACTGAAGAAGCACACCTCTTACCGAAGGAAGAAGTGCTCTGGTACTCTAGAAATGTGATGTACCGATATGGTAGAGACTTGCGAGATATTGATAATCCAGCGAATCTCCTTCCGCTTACACCGGATATTCTTAAATGCTTCGACAAACGGTGGTTCGTTATCGTACCAAAGATTGCTGGGGGAGGAGGTGCGCATGAGACGGATAACGGTACTCGTTCAGCACGCTACGTATCACACATACTTTCCGAAGCTGAATACTGGCCGACCTACCACAACACGATAGTCCAATACCTTGAAAGCGACTCCCGTCCTTATCTCTTTGCTCGGTTCGCTTGGGCCATTCTTCTGTCTGTGAAGCCCTTCGTTACAAACGGTGAACCCCTCAATGTTATTCGCCTCGAAGTGTCGACTGGCGCCGAGGAGACTCAGAAGGTGTGGACGGCAGAATTTCTAAGCGGGGCACAGCTTAAGGCCAACTACAGTGGCGGCGGTTCGAAGAGCGCGGACATCCAAAAAGAGAAAATCAGAATTTAGTACACTTGGAGAAGAGGATGATGATCTTGCGGAGTCTAGCGATGATAGCGATATCGGTAAGGAGAGCGACATCTGGGATAATGTCATGGATGAGTGGGAAGCAAGAGGGCAGAGGAGACGTCAGCAGACCTCCAGTGAGACTGCACCAGCGATTACATCAGAAGATGTCACGGCTCAGTTGAAATCGGGTCCGTCAGAATTGCAGACGTCTTTCCGGGAGTCTAATCGTACCTGAATCCTCACAATTCAAGCAAAGCCCCCCAACCCTTCCAACACCTTCCGCTATTTCTGTCTTATGGCCCAGGTGAACGCCATGGGATCCTAGTGAGCAAGGACAAGACAGGGTGAGGCAAACCGAAGCTCAGGAATGAAAGAAGTATGAGTAAATTACTTCAACCCCAAAAAGTACATTTATAGCAAGTTTGTTTCACAATCAGGGTATACTGGCACCTGTACAATGGTGCTAGACCGGCCAAAAGTAGCATCTAACCAGGCAGGCCCCTAAAAGTTTAAAGATTGATTCTGTATGTAATAAATAAGTATTGACTAGTTGCTTAATGGTTATCATAATGCCTCGACTGGCTATAAAGTGGATATCCTTATTATGTTCATTATTATTACACACATACTGTCGCATTGATCATTAAATTATTAGCCCAATATCTTGATGCATTCCCTTTCCTTTCCCTTTTCCTTTTTGCTTTCCTTTCCGGCAAACATACATATACGGGAGAACGATGCTTCCTTGTCAGCTCACCACCACCACCACCACCACCACCACCACCGGCTTTCTCCCCGTGCGGTGCGAGGGGATGACCACACAAAATTCAGGAAAGAGGAAGAGAGCCAAACATGTGATGTTTGGATTGGGGGACCAGATAGATCCGTGTCCAGAGAAGCCGTCTTTCCGTCGTGCCGCCGCGTTGTATGAGGGATTTTTGGTCCACTGGCTGAACACCGAGGAAGCTCTCACTGTCCCGCGACGCTGTGCTGGGGCGGGGTCTGGTGTTTGGTGGCTTCGGCCATTCGTGCTTGAAAGGGTCCCGGTTTTAGTGCGGATACACTCAACAGCCAGGTACAACACTACGCACCGGACACTGCACACTGGACGCTGTCCACACTTGAACAAGCATGGCGATTCGGTTTTTTTTTTTTTTTTGCCCAGCCTTGTTGCTGTTGTTATCATCCCGCGCTTCGGGATTAGGGACAGACAGGCACGATACAAGGGTAACTACATGGTTTGGCAGAGAGCGGTCAGCAGCCTAACTAACTCCAAAGATACTCTTAACCTCGCGCTGTCAAAGAGCCAACCCAATACTGAGCCTTTGAACAGGGCGAGGGGCCTTGCCCAGCTTCTTTTGTCCAGTACATGCACACACACACACACACACACACACACGCGATGCTGATTCCCTGGATGGTTCTTTTGAACCAAGGGACTTGCAGCTGTGTACGACAAGGAGCCCCCTTACAGCACAGGGACAGCTAGTGGATATACTGCGTGGTTGCTGCGCTGCAGATCGCAACGACAAGAAATTCGTCAAATTCAGCATCACCTAAACCGCTCCTGTTTCCTTTTTCGCTCCGTTTCCTTAATATTCCCTTATATCTTTTACCCGTACATATCTCTTACCCGCCATAGCCCCCGGGATCATAAACACATGTCGACAGGGCGGGCCAGGAAGGAAATAGAACGCTTCCCGCTCCCTGCCTGGCTCCGTTGCTCGCCTTGGCTCCGCTACTTACCTCCGCAGTAAGGTATCAGCTGGCTGCTCAACCCATGATGTCATTCATCTCTGCCAACCAACCAACCAACCAACCAATAACTGCCCAAAAGACGCTTGCGATGTGTCAATCTCATGTCCCTGGATCCTTCCGTGTGTGTGTGTGTGTGTGTGCGCGAAAGATTAAAAAGAAAAAAAAAAAATTCAACTCTCTCGAGATTGGTCAACCAGCTTAGGGGCTTTCCTTCAATTTCAAGCACATCTTCAATCTCCACTGCACCTGATCACCGCGTACGCGTGCACCTCATCAATCAATCAATCAATATTTTTTCTTCTCTCCGCCATAGCCGTATTGCCGAATATAACCAAGGAATGTGAAATAAAAAAAAAAAAAAAAAAAAAAAAGGCAAGCATCCATCCCCTCCTTTCCCTTGGGGCGTTGTGTTTTGGGGATTTGTTTGCGATTGGAGCTAGTTATACGTTGTACTGTAGAATAAGCTACATGTACGGATATATCGTCGTCACAAGAGCGGAGATTTTTTTTTTAAATTAACTCTGGTGCTTACCCTCCTCCTATCCGGTTCATATGGCTTTCTTTTTTTTTTTTTTTCTTTTTTTCTTTGTGTTTTTTCATTGTTTTCTGAGAAATTCGGTTATTTGCTGGAATTCACTTCCCTCTAATCGGGGCCCCTTCTTTTTTATCAACCTCGCGGACTCCATCCGTTTGAAATGTGGAATGTATGTGAAGCCTTTTTTTGCTTCAGATGAAATAAAAACAAACGAAACATAGTGCGTGTATAGAGCATCTTGTTTTTAGGATATATATACCTTTTGTATGTATTTACAATGAATGACCGTTGTACTGTACTATATATATACTGCGTGTGTTTGTGTATAAAGGAAGGGGAAACCAGTGGACCCCCACTGTATCAATAACTGTGCAAGCGCCGGAGCACCCAAGACGGCCCCCGCAACATCGCCATCGCTATAAAAATAAAAATAAGGAAAACCCCCATATATATATATATATATATGTGTGTGTGTGTGTGTAAAAGAGCGTAACAATGGTGTATAATGGTCGTTATCGGGTCACGGCGCCAGAATCAAAGGTCAAGCCATAGATCCTCCTCTATAGGTTGAAGATCACCCGTCGCCAACCGCCCGTCTTGACCTTGGCCCATGTCAGCATCCTCCGCGAAAGCAACTTTGGCACTCCATCTCCTCGACACTGCTTTATTTCTAGGATGAGCTGAAGCTCTCAATTTTCTTGCTGGATGTTTGTCAGAAGAGGACCCAGTTTTCTTTATGAGGCATTTCTTCTTCCCACTGTTACCCCCGACATTCCTCCACCAACGAACGATGACCCCCTTTGCCCATAGTAACCTCTTCCTCTCCTGTACAACCTCCATACATTCCGTTGCGATCTTTCCCAAGATGATGCGTTTTTGGAGCTGACGTCGAGCATGCGTTCGTCTCCAAGCTGATTGTAGAACAATCGCTGCCCGCGTCCTTTTCGAGGCAGATAAAAGCCTACTACAAAGAAAAGCCAGAGCTGAGAGAGTGAAATCCCGATCAAAAAAATGAGATGAGGATACGCATGAGGGTGAAGGTGACGGGGTCACAAGCGAGGC